CAAATTAGACTGAATTCCTCCAATGATTGCTTTCATTGGGTCGAAAAATCTTTTGTCAAAAATTACTGCCAAAGTAGGTGTATCGATCCCTTGACGAAATAAAGCTGTTATGGTTACTTGAATTAATCCAATATGAATATATTGAATTTCAGGATATTTCTTTTTCCATCTTCCAACCTTTTTCTTATCAAAAAAAGGAATATCAATATTTCCTTCTTCTGACCATTTTGCTTGAGTGTCACCACTGTATTGTTCAAATACTCTTACTGAAAAGAAGTCAAATTTTGAAAGTTTGTAAATTTATGGAACAACAACTTCTTGCATTTTTTCGAATTTTGCTAATTCTTCGTCGGTAAAATTTTTTTCTTCTCCGATTACATCTCCAAGTCGGATTGCCTGTAATTCTTCTTGAGATATACTATTTGCTTCTTGAGATATTTCTTGACTATTATTAGTCATCATGAAGATTAGTTCTTCATCTGAACTTTCTTTATCACTAGAAATTTCATATAAGATTTCTTCTTCATCAGAAATTTCTTCTCCATATATTATTTCAAAATCTTATTCTTCAAGGACTTTGATCATTTTCTTTGCACTTTTTTCCCTTTTTGGGCATTCGAGTGCATAGTGACCTTCTTCGTTACAAATGTAACATTTACAAGTTTTCTTCTTTGAAACACTTGTTGGTTTCTTTTTTCGAATATACTTTTTCTTTTTTGAAAAAGTTTTGTTCTTTTTCCAAGGTTTCCATTTATATTTTCTACGTTTTTTGGAAAATCCTTTTCTTTTAGGAAATGTGTTACAACCAATTTTTCAATTTTCTTTTAAAATTTTATCACAACATTTTTGACTGTATTGTGAGTTGGAAATTTGATTTTTTATTTGTTTTTTCGCCTTTGCTTCTAGATACCGATCTGCTATCAGTCTTAGAACATAATTAATGCGAAAATCAAGATTATCATATTCTTCCTTTCCCATTTTTTTGAGAAAATCGAGATATGTTTTAATACATAACTCATCCCATGGATTATGGAGTTTATGAAAAAATTGATCTAGCCAGGGTTGATTTGCTGGTGGATCAATAAGATAATAATATTTTTTAAAAGTTTAAACATAGTCTTCAAAAAGACAAATATTACATAATTCTAATTTAGCCAAAATATAATTTGCATCTGCTTGCAAATTAGTATCTCCTACAAAACCACATAAATTTTCTTTTATGATTTTTACAAATTCAGCTAAGATTGTGTCAAGTGTGAGAAGATTTGTTAACAAAGCTGTTTTTTGACTTTTTCCAATTTCAGATTTTTCCCACTGTCTTAACCATTGCAACGCATCTCCCTGGAGAGTTGCTGCAATACAATCAAGAAATTTTTCCTTTGACCAACTATTTTTATAATTGGTAATAATGATGGACAAGGATTGTGCCCAATCATCTGTTGCTTGTGGCTGATCCTTAAATAGAACATGAGACAAGTCCAAATAAGTACTATTTTGAGCTATTGGATACTTATGATTATTATCTTTTCTAGATATTACTAGCTCAGATGTAGGATTGGAGATACTTCCAATGTTAGTATCATTTTTAACTTCATTTGTTTGAATAAAGTTAAAATTTTCTCCATCTCCCCATGTGCCAAATAATTCGGGATCAATTGGCTCTTCTGTCTTTCTTTTCCCTTTATTTATTTCTGATGAAATATCTTGATCTATTGTTTCTTCAGATGAGGATGATTGGCTGTCATCATCATTAGTTGACATATTAATATCATAATTAAAGTGTTGTAAAATGGTTTCTTTTTCTAGATAAGTTTCTCTTATCTGATCTAGTAGCATATTTCCTTCATCAATACCTAAATCTGGGTCTTTATATAGTTTTCTCCAATAATCCAATATTTCAACAACATTTTCATATTCAGTTCTATTATAGGTATTGGTTTGAAGTACCATAATATCTTATGTACCATAAAATAGCCTAGGGATGTAACTATCTCCTGGACTATTCATTCCATCATTGTTTATGAAGGATATAATTTCTAATTTTGTCACCAAATTGTTTATTTGATTTTTTGCTTCTTTATTTAAGTCAATATTTATTATAGAACCCAAATTGTCTATTTTAGATTCTATAGACTCAACTTTAGTCTCTAGATAATTTTGATTTTTATCTAATTTGGAAAACCAAGAACACATAATATCAGTAATATTATTTAAACTAGAACACACACTATTTATATTTGCAAGCTATTTAGTAATATGCAAACTATGATCATATTTGTTATTAACATTATTTTTTGTATTTCCAAAGCATATTATATCGTCAGAATTAATTGTCATTTTAGAGTGTTGTTTATACTTAAGACCCTCTTAGCGTATTATTTGGTGCCTAAAACCTCTTTTTATGATCTTAAAGACTTAATTATGGCCAATAGTCAAAAGATCTTAATGAGTATATGGGTTTTGACATACACTAAGCATATAGGTTTTACAACAACTATAAATGAAACAAATAATTATGAAGATACAAAATACAGAGGATACACAAAAAACTTAGACGGAATTTTTAATAAATATATATATATATATATATTTTATAACATAAAACACTCCATACACACTCTCTATATATTAAAAATTTATACATAGATAGAAATACTTATATAGCTTGATCTTGCTTTCAAAAGCTCTTCACCAAGCTCTGATACCAATTACTAAACAAAAAAGGAAATGAGCTTTTTACTATTTTTCTTATGGAGTTGTGGTGGAATTCTGGGATAAGGAATTATGATAGCAAAAAGATGGAGAGAATATAGAGAGAATTTACATTGCCTTCTTCATTGGCTTGAATGTCAATTTGTAGAACACATATTGTATATACAGACAAAAATCAAAAGTTATGGCATATATACCTTACGTCCAATTTCTACAACTTTTGTCAAAACTTTACAACTTTTTGACAAAGTCTACAAGCCTAGGCATAGGCTTATACAACATTTCCACAAAATTAAATATAAAGACAAAAAGTCATAAATGAGAGACTTTAATTATTTGTCATCTTTATACTACAATTATATACATAAATATATACAGTGTATGTACAGTGTATATTATATACACTGCATATATTTTTGCTTGTCTTTCCAAATTGAATCTATCTATCTTAGTATTTTTTCTTATTTATTCAAATTCATTTGTCCCAATATTTTTGCTTATCTGTCCAAATTATTTTAACTTATTTGTTATATAATTTAGATAGATGGACACTTCAATTTGAACCGATGGTATTAAAAATATTTAACATGTCAATTGAGTAAATGTTGAATACACTTGTGATACCACGTGGTAGTATTATCATTGAATGAACAATTTTCATTTGTGATCAAGACCACCACATTATTGAGTTACTGAGAGACACAGTTTGTCCATCTAATCCATTTACAATTTTTTATTGGATAGTGATGCATGTGAACACAATGGCCATGTTTGATTTGATTTTCATAAACTTGTTTCAGAAATTTCTCTAAAAAATTAAAAATTAATTTGTTGAAAAAAATTAAAAAATTTTAAACACTTATAATTTTTACATTATTTTTGGAAGGCCAAAAATAATTTTAAAAATATCTTTTTAATATTTATTTTTATAAAATTAATTTTTATTTTTCTAAATAATTATTTTTTTTTTTTATGAAAACAAACCGATATTTTTTATTTCAACGTTTCACATAATGAACTTTTGTTGTTGTTGTTGTTGATGATGATGATGATGATGATGTTGACATAATCACTTGGAAGGAGACGACTACAATACGATCATGCTTTTTTTTTCTTTTTTGAACATACAATAAGATCATGCTTGTCTTCCTCTTTTACTGCAGTAGGAGCCTTTTTTTTATATGAAATAGCTACATAATATTAATTTTGAATGAGAAGGGTAATTAATAAAGTTTCTTTTTTATATGCGATTGTCTGTATGGACCTAAATAAAAGGCGCCTGGATTTATGGCCTTTTAAGTTCATAAAATGGATTTATAGATTGAGAGCCCAAATTTTTTTTTTTTGGGTAGGTAATGAGACCCCAAATTAAAAAATGGGTACTTATGTGTAGGTTTTAGTAAGTGGACTTATTATTTAATAGATCCTATGAAAAAAAATTGTCATAAAAAAGTCACTAATTGTAAGTTTTACCCACAATTTATAAAAATCATGACGAAAAAAAGTCACTAATTGTCAATTTTTAGTAACATATATAAAAAATTGTAACAAAAAAAAATATTTTTAACGACAATTTTATCAAGACTTATGTTCAGTAGGACTTGATGGAAATGAAGTCCAACTATTACGACCTATTGGTAGTTTATCCTTAAAAATATAACTTGGTAAAAAGAAGATAAATTAATTAAAAAACTAAAAAAACAGAGAGTTGGTTCTAGACCTCGATTAAGAAAACTTATTAGATAGTGCAACATGACATTGCCATGTGAGATCAAACATCAATCACTAATTGCCACTCTTATGTTGTTAGCCAAAATATTAACATAAATGTTATGGCCAGCCCCACGATGTAAATTAATGACGTTCGAGTAATGTAACACATAACAATACCCTACAAGATACCTAATAATTGTTTATTGGGTGAGCGAGTCTCTCTTTTCTTGTTCTCTGCACATTATTGTCTGAAGTGTCATAATAATAACTACTAACAAATATTGCAATGTAAACTAGTTTTGGAAAAAACATTAATAATAACTACTAACAAATATTGCAATGTAAACTAGTTTTGGGAAAAACATTTATGTAAAAACAGAGGCTAATAATATTGAAAATTTATCATGTAAATTACCATGAGAAATTAAAGACAATCAATCATAGTTTTCCAAATAATGACATGTTTAAATAGATAGTGTTTTTGAAATCGTAGGGAGGCGATCGCCCCCTCTTGTCCCCCCTCTAGGTACATCTGTGCTGTAGTATATATAAGTAAACACCCCCTTATGAGGAAGATGAGTGCCGCAATAGCAGGAGCAGGAAGATCAGGAGGATGGCAACCAGTTCTGTATGGGAAACGAAGACTTGATCGGAGGGAGGGTAGTCGTAAGAGTGGTAAGGGAATCTTCACTATTTTCGTAGACAACATTCCATGGTCAATGAATCCTAAAGGGTTATTCTCCTTATTTTCAAAGTTTGGAATTGTTAAGGATGTTTACATCCCAAGTAAGACTAGGAAATCTACAAAAACGAGGTTCGGGTTTGTCCGATTTGATTGTCCAGTGGCAGTTGCGGTAGCCATTCAGAAAACTAACCGGTTATGGTGCGAAGACAAGGAACTCTATGTGAAGAGGGTAGAGTTTGAGAAGGCAAGAGGCTTTGAGAAATGAGGAGGGTTGAATATTGATGTAGTTGATCCAAGAGGTAAACCGAAAGACTATATGGTCAGAAATGATGTTGGGGGAGGTATGAAGATGGCGGCTCAGCAGTCATACGCAGAGGTAGTACGACAAGGGAACGGGAAAGGAAATGAAGGGCATGTTATAGTGGGGGTAGAAGCTGGTAATGGCTGGCTAAATGATAGTGTCATTGTCACATTGAAAAGCTATGACGCGTTCTCTGAATTTCGGAATGTTGTATTACAGATTGGCTCTAAGGATATTGTTGTTAGAAAAGGAGGGGGCAAGACTGCCGTGGTGCCGTTTATGTCAGCGGAAGACATGAAGGCACAGATGATAATCTTGGATGAATGTATCAAAGAGTGCTGCGAATCAGTCACGGAGTGGAGAAAGGGACTGCGCTTAGTCCAGAACGGAGCAGTGTGGCTAAGCTGCTTTAGAGTGCCTTTAAATCTCTGGAGCAATGATACATTTCTGAAGATAGGTCGATTATGGGGAGAAATATTACGAGTGGATGAGGCTACATCAAATCAGTTGGATTTTAGTTGTGGGAGGATCCTGATTGAAACAAGAGCAATGTATTCCATTAATACTGTTATTCAGATTAGGTGTAATGATATGGTTTACCCAATTAGAGTTTGCGAAGAGCACGTCATGGTGGCCAAACCACTTGGTGAATCATGTAAGTGTTTATCAGTCCAGAGGAGGGAGGATCTTTGCAGTGTAGTAGGGTCGGAATGTCAGGTTGATGGTCATGGTATGCATCCAGAAATGGATGCTGCTGTGGTGGAAAATTCTGTCCAGATCGTGATGAACATGTGTGTTGAAGGGTTAAAATCTGCTAGGGCTGAGATGGCTTACAAAGTAGCAGAGTTGGTAAAAGTACTACCTGTTGATTGTTGTACATCGGTAGTGGAAGAAATGGCGGGCGTGGGCTTGGGAAGTCGCATGGTGGTTAATGCATGTGAAAGAATCAACCAACAGATTTTGAATGCTGAACAACTAATTAATGAAGCCAGTGAGGAAGAGGAGGAAGCTGTTAATGGGTACATGAGAAGCCTTAGTGGAGATGGGCCTGATAAAGATGGAATAAAATTGGAAGTTAAATTGGTTGGGTTAACAAATAGGCCTATTGAAAGTAGAAGTAAGTCCATTACAGTGGGCTTAGATAATTCATTGTCTTTGGGCCAAGACATCGGGGTTGATTCACAATCTATTCAACCTACTTTCATTCTAAGAGACACTGGTTTGAAAAGTGGAGAGGTAAAACAAAGGAAAAAGTTGATTAGGAGAAATGAAGGTAATATAGCTAGTCGACATTCGGTCGATAACCTCCGAAAAGGAAGGGGTGGTAGTAGAGATGTCACGACCCGAACCCGCCACTACAGGTTTAGCGTCGTAACCGGCCAATAATCCTTGGATTACCAAAGGCCTCTTGACTGATTAACATAAAGTTAGGGACTGCGGAAGCAAATATACGAAATAAATATACAGTCCATTGAGCCGTGAAGACGTATATGATACGCATCATTTAAAACTTTTATTAACATATAAGTGATGTTGAGAAAAATAACCTATACATATCACTTCTAGTAGTGTATTAACCGACATCTTATCTAAAACTTAACAAACAAGCAAAGTCTAACATGATTATACAAAAATAGCCACAAATCTTAACTTCATCCAGAACCTCTTCGGGAGGTGCAAGGGTTGACTGACAAAAATAGAACTTAGGCCATCAACTCTGGGCCTGGTCGTGTGCCTGCTTACCTACATACATAATATAAATAGTGAGCTAAAGCCCAGTGAATAATAACAGAGTAAAGACTTTAATGAATGATGTCCCATTACTATGGCTGAAACTGAAATTCATATTCATATTCTTATTTTGAGCATATATAAAATTCAGAGTTCATGCTTACATAATACATCCATTAGCGCTGATAGATCACACAAAGAATATCTAAATCATACTTGTCAATTCTATATAAGAACCTCCGGCCGGGTAAGAATAACTTGTTAGTTCCATGAAAGGATCTTCGGACTAAGAACTTGTAAACTTGTCAGTTCCACTAAGGAAGCTCCAACCGGGCATAGATGGCTTGTCAGTCCCATAAGGGACCTCCGGACCGGGAACTTGCATATACTTGAATCATAGCATTATGTCATAATTGCTTGTTAGACTTGGACAATCATTCATAGCATAAAACATAACATTTCATGAAACAGTTCTTAATCCATGAGCAGAAAATAATTTACTTGAACATAACTTTACTAAGTTATTACTCACAGATAATTGGTAGCTCCAATTTGACAGCAAGGTAAGCAATTCACTTATTCCGAGGCACGTGACCTACATAACATGGTAGATTCATACATTGAACGCAAACGCTCAGATTGTACATAACTTACTTTATTTGTTCTTAGTGTGTTACTAGTCTTTCATCTCATTATGGAGTCTTAATCATGGCCTAGGAATACCTAGGATGGAATGAGAATGCAAAAATGTACTTGAAACACTTAGCCAAAATTTTACTGAAACAGGGGTCTCGTTCGAGCGTGGCTTTATTCGCTCGAGCGGACATGCCAAATGTGAGTGGTCGCTCGAGCGTAGATTCCTTCGCTTGAGCGGTCTGCAAAATGTGAAAAGTTCTGGTTGCATGAAATCTCAGCTCGACATTCGCTCGAGCGTGAGACACAGGTCTTCGGTCGAGCGTGCTTCTACATACGCAAAAATTCTAAGAGCTTGCAATTTACGCTCGAGCCAGCCTTTTATCGCTCGAGCGCAAGCATGAAAAAAAAAATGGTCGCTCAGGCGTAGGATCCCTCGCTCGAGCGTGGAAGCAAAATTCTGGGTTTTCCAGATTTGCTCTCAAGCTTCAAAACACAAATTCAACTCTTCAAAACACATCTCTTGGGCCCCAAAACTTGAGATAACATAGTGAACTTGTAAAACGTGATGAATTGAGGATTATTTCACAAAATTATGGCCCAAGAGTTTGTCAATTGCATAAATTCTAACATAAACTTTATGAATGTTTCATGAATACAACATGCATGAACTCCCTTGAATTCAAACAATTCAAAACAAGATCAAATTTGGCAAATTGATGAAAAACATGATGAACTCCCAAAATGTAAGTGAGATGAACACATGCATGAAAAAAAATCTTTGAAATCATGCTCAATTTGTGAGAAAATGTACATGCATGCATGGTATGGCCCAATTCTTTCCAATTCTAGTGCAATTCCTACATGAATTTTCTTAATTCACCAGTAATCTTGTAGAATCTTCATCAATTACTCAATTAAGAGTTCAATTCCTTACCTAGAGGCTTGAAGCTACAAGGGTTGAGGTTGAGGCCCTCAAATCTTCTTCAATGGACAACAATTCCTAGCACCTCTTTGGTTTGAGTTCAAATTCTCAAGTCTTGGATGAATTCTTCCTCCTCTCACTCTCTCTCACATTTTGGGTCTTAGAGGACTCAAAGATGTTTGTAGATGAAGAAAGGAGTGAGTGGAAGTGTTTTTGTGTTCAATGAGGCCACTAAGGCCTTAATTAGGCCATTAAACAAAAGTGTGCTTAATGAAGGTTAATTAGTGGACATTAGTTGAATCTAATTTAATCATTCCAAATCGAAATTCAATTGAGCCTACCATAAAATTCTATAAATCCTAACTAGCACATAAATTAAGCCAATTTCTGATTCGAATGCCGATAAAGCCTTCAATTTGCAAACCGAAAGAAAACATAAACAGATTTTCCTATATAGACATACTTTATGCAACACACACGTGCACTTTAATTCAGAATTTCACCTTACTTGTCAATTAAGCATAATTAACCATGGATTAACGTTAATCAGGAATCGGGTTTGTTACAGTCTTCCCTTCTTAAAAGAGTTTGGTCCTCCAAACTCGAGTTACCTTCGGTTTGGAAGAATACCGGATTCAGAGGGAACAACTCAGGGTATCTCTTCATCATGTCTTCTTCGGTTTCCCAGGTAGCATAAGTTCCTCCATGGTTCTGCTAATCAACTTTTACTAGTGGTATTTCCTTGTTCCTCAATCTTTTGACCCAGTGGATCATAATCTAAATAGGTCTTTCTTCGTAAGTATAATCTTCCTTTAAAAGCACGTGAGTTGGCTCAATCACATGTAACGGATCTCTCAGATACTCTCGAAGCATAGAGACATGAAATACATTGTGTATATGCTCCATTACTGGAGGCAAGGTCACCCGATAAGTAACCGAATTGATCTTTTCAAGGATTTCGTATGGTCCAACATACCTTAGTGCCAACTTTCCTTGTATACCAAACCGAGTTTGACCCTTCATAGGGGTAACTTTTATGAACACATGGTCCCCAACTTCATATTCTCTATCCCTTCTTCGAACGTCAGCATAACTCTTTTGTCGGCTCTGAACAGTTTTCAATCTTTGCTGAATCAATTTCACATTTTTTGTGGTTTCTTGCACAAGTTTCGGCCCCAACAATGGTCTGTCATCTACCTCAACCCAACGTATCGGAGATCGGCATTTTCTTCCATATAAGGCTTCATAAGGAGCCATCCCAATGCTTGAATGGTAGTTGTTGTTATACACAAACTCAGCTAACGGCAAATAAGTCTCCCAATTTCCTTAAAAATCTAACATACACATTCTGAGCATATCTTCCAAGGTTTGGTTGGTTCGTTCAATTTGACCATCTGTCTGTGGGTGATAGGCGCTACTTAATCTCAATTATGTCCCTAAAGCCTATTGTAAACTTTGCCAGAATCTCGATGTAAACTTCGAATCTCTGTCGGATATAATAGATACTGATACACCATGCAATCTCATAATTTCATTCACATACATGTTAACCAACTTATCCGCACTGTAAATAGTTTTGACAGACAGAAAATGAGCAGACTTAGTCAAACGATCAACTATAACCCAAATAGAATCCATACCGCGAGAAGAGCGAGGCAATCCCACAATGAAATCC